AAACTGGCCTTAACAGCCATTTACATGTTCACAGAAACCACACCAAACAGTGATGTCATGGTCATCTTCAAATTCAAAGGATGAACCATCAGTTGAAAGCTACTATTAAATTTCCCCTCGCTTCTCTTCTCCAGACTGAATAAGTCCAGTTCTCTCAGCTCTCCTCAAAATTCATGTGCCCCAGCCCCCTAACTATTTTCGTTGCCCTCCACTGGACTCCCTCCAATATGTCCACATCCTTTCTGTAGTGAGGGGCCCAAAAGTAAACACAGTACTCCAGATGTGACCTTACCAGTGCCAAATAGATGGGAAGAATCACCTTCCCTCAATCTCCTGGCAATGCTCCTATTAATGCAGCCCAGTATGCTGTTAGCCTTCTTCACAACAATGGCACACTGTTGGTTCATACTCATCTTACTGTCCACTGTAACCCCCAGGTTTTCTGCAGAGCTGCTGCTGAGCCAGTCAGTCCCCATCCCTGGTGCATGGGACTGTTCCATCCTAAGTACATGAGATTTCTTTTAGTCCAATCCTCCAATTTGTCTAGGTCACTCTGAATCCTAGCCCCACCCTCCAGTGTATCTACTACCCCACCCAGCTTGACGTTATCTGCAAACTTGCTCAGGGTGCAATCCATCCCATCTTCCAGGTTGTTAATGAAGATATTGAACAAAATGAGCCCCAGGACCAACCCGTGGGGCACTCCACTTGATACCAGCTCCCAGCTAGACCAGGCCATTGACTACTACCCTCTGAGCCTGAAGACCCAGTTTTCTATCCACCTTACAGTCCACTCATCCAAGCCATACTTCCCCACCTTTGTTTTCCCATTCTTCACACTTGATCCACAACCATGTTGTGGCTGCTACAAATTACCGTAAACAGGACTGATAACAGCAAATAGGACCTGTAGCTCTACTTCTGCTTCGTGTGTCCTCAAATTGAAAAGGCTGTGGGTACAGGAATTACAGTCTCTCATGCTTTCATTAACCTAAAAATATATATGTCACCACACTGAAAGGCCACAACTTGCTCTTGGGTATGGAAATATATTAACAAAAAATAACTGTATTCACAAGTACTCTCAAGGCTGCTGAACTCCAAATGAGATCAAACAGTGTGATTTTGAAGTGTAGCAAGCATGTTTCTTACAATTTCAATGGCTTGCCTCTTTGCAAGAATGGAACCAGTAAGTGGGTCAATGAAGCAGTGGGAAATGTACAGGGGACCATAAGAAAACCCACCTCTCTGGGATTGCTGGTGAGTTGCCCAGTGGAGAGGTGAAGTCTTCTCCACATCCTTCATTCTAAAGGGCAGACAGCTTCCAGGATCCAGAGGAAATGTGAAAATAAAAAGAACGTCTAGAACAGGCTGTTAGAAATCTGTTAACTGTGACATGGTCCTCATGAGTGTGGTTACCGTCAAAGAAAAGTTCCATTTTTTGCAGTCATATCAGCGCTGCATTTTTTTCCAAGCCCTATCTAGTAAGCTGAACCAAGGACCAGCGTTTTCCTGTTGCTGGCACTAGAGCTCTTATTGAAAAAGCAAGCTGCCACATTCTCCATCTGAACTCATCAATAAAAAAAACTGAGTGAAAAAAGAGCAGTTCAGCAATTTAAAGACCCAAGGTCCATGTCCTGATCTTGCAACTTTCTTACCTTAGTGTAGTTGCCGTGACTTCTGTGAAGTTGTTCTGGTCTTGAAAAACTGTGCATCTTAAGAATAGAATCCCTGATATTTGTTCAAAGGCCACCTTAGCAGTGAAGAGCTTAAAATGATAAAAGTTGTTTTTAAAGCTCAAGTGTTGCCAGCCACACGTGGAGCTAAATGCAGGTTTTTCCTTTCCTGTGCTGAGGGCAGCTTGACTCCCATGGATTTGAGTGGTAGCTAACTCAAGATGCTCAGTACCCTGCAGAAAGTACCTTATTTTGTTCAGAATGAGATGTGCTGTCACCATCTTGAGCTTTATATCCACCTCTGGCAAGCAAAATAGCACTAAATATATCCTATAAACACACTCATTTTACAGTTCGTTTCTCTTTCCCATACTATGTTCGTATGGATTTGAATACATTTGATGTAAAAAACACTGCAAATGATAAAATAATCAAAACAAAATCCCTTCAGGATGCCAGGAAGTTTCAGCTGGGCTCTTAGCCTTCCAGATTTTTTTATTTGGACTTACTTTAAAGTAAATACAAAAAGCTCATCCCCACACACTTTAGCTATTCCTTAACAAGCAGATGCAGCTACACTTTTCAAAATATTGATATTTGCATTTTGGAGCATTCACAATCCCAGCACAACAAATGTACTATTAATAGCATCAGTAAAGAGAAAGGGACAGATCCTATTCCGGTAACTAGGTGCCTAAATGCACTCCTGACCCACTTTGTTCAAATCCCTGAAAAACCTTTGAGGCATCTGTTTTTATAACATGATGTCATCCTAGCTTTAAATCTAACTCAAAAAAAGCAGCAAGGAGGCAGAGGAGCCAGCCACCTTCTATATTAAGAATTTTTCAGGGACTCCAGTGCAATGGAATAGGATTACACATTTAAAATGTAGACTAAGATCTGCCTCCTAGCATTGGATTGAGAATACTTTGAGCCTCAGTTTAATTGGGGATACCAGGAACAAGTCATAACACTGGAGGCTGTCAACTATACACTTTATTTCTCAAAGCACTGATTATTTCTCACTTGAAACAGAGCATTTTAGTACCCCACACCCCAAGCACAGACTACTGCAGACATAATTAACTAGGATCTGCAACCAGGGTAAGCAGTCTCATGCTGACTTGTCCCCTTGAGGCATGTCAAATGCTGACAACTAGTTCCTTTCTACATGTGCAGGTAAAGATGCGATAAGATCCACACAACTGTGCCAGTGGCCTTCCCTCCACCCCTTGCCCCCTTCCCCATCCCACTTGCTCCCCCTGCCACCTGACGCCAGACAGCTTGGCTCTCCCCACCACCACTTACCCTTGTAGCACATGTTGGCTCCAGACACCGTGTGGCTAAGCAGCAGTGGTTGCAGTGGCAGCCCTAGCACAGGGACCAGGTTGGAACTGAGCTGGGGCCAGAGCTGCCGCCACCAACAGCACTGCTACCTGGCTGGGCAAAAGTGGCAGGAGCCAGAGCCAAGCCTGAGCAGAAGTGGCAGGAAGAGGAGCAGGAGGGAGACAGGTGGCCTGCCTCCCACTTTCTACTGGAATCCAAGACAAGGTTCTGCCCCTCCACATGTTGAATGGGGGGGAACCTCATTTTGAGCTTGAATAAACAGTTTTTATTAATATAATTAGCCAATTACCCATCAAGACAATGGGGGAGGGTGGGGGGTGGAGGGGAGCGGGCAGGGATGGAGCCCTGTGCCTTCCCCTCCATCCAGGCCCGCTCCCCACTTTCCTCCTGCTGCTTGGGATCCA